CGGCCCCTGCCAGCTCCCTTAGCCGGGCCACCATAGCCGGACGGGGGCCGGCAGCTATTGCACGTATGGCCTCTATCCCCATGCGTATCCAGGCAGTACCACATCCTTTTGTTGCACTGCTCTAGCCGACAGTGATCACAGACCACTATACATCTGAAGATAGCCCCGGCAGGCTCCCATCGGCCTACCCCAGGGGTAGCCCCTTGGGGCCTGCACAATATCCATCCCTGTTCCGGGATCGCTTCTGTTAGCTCTTTTGCGTAGCCGGACCGGGTGCTAACCGCGATGAAGTCCTCATCCTCTAGCTTGTATATCCAGTTGGGGTCGTGTATCGCCCCCTTGCCGCTGACATCGCGGCCTCTATCCGACAACTGCGATAGCCTTCTATCCTGGCGACCGCCCTTCTCGTAGCTCCCCAGGGGCCACTGGGCCCTAGCCACATATAGCCAGGTCTGATCGATCATGCCGCTATCCGGGCCGAGTGGTCGCCCCTTGGCTTGACTAGCCACTGGCGGGGGCGCCATTATCCGGTGCACCACATCGGGTTCTTCGCGAAGTAGCCGTTCGGTGGGCCTATCCAGGTTGATGTTCACCGCCGCTCCCTGCTGGAGCGCGGGCCTCTCCGGAGCTATCCGGCCGTCCGGCCATAGCCTCCCACTGGGCCTCGTTGTATCGGCCCGCTCCTAGCCTTCTGTCCAGCGGGTGGCTGCTATCCGGGTGGATGTAGCCACGGTCGCTATCCCCACCGCGTCCTTTGGTGGTGCTCTTAGCCTGCGGCCTCAAGGGCGGGAAGGGATCGTATCCCGGCTCGCCCTTGCGTGGCCGCCGCTGCTGCTGTGTATCCTGGTTGCTATCCGGACCGTCCTGAAAGAAGACCTCCTCCATCCTAGCCACATAGGCCGGGACGTCCGCAGGCGGGCCACGGTAGCCCTGCATGCATCTAGCCAGGGTACTCTGTACTCGCCCTTAGCGGTGTAGCCGTGGTCTCTGCCGCGGCTGCCCTAGCCTGCTGTAGCCCCGGACCCGGATTGACGACCTGGGCCGGGTCTAGCCCAGCCGAGAACGGCAGGGTGGTAGCCGTTTCTTCTTTATCCGCTGCACTCCCCTGCCGCAGCTTGTTCTTAGCCTTGGACTCTTGGACCGTCGGCGGGTCCCTAGCCGGCTTCTTGGGCCTCGCCGCTGTGCTATCCTCTGTGCTGGCCTCCTCTGCCCCAGGATGGGGCTCCTCTTGCCTAGCAACAGGGGTAGCCGTGCCGCGGACCTCCGCCTCTAGCTCCTTGAGCTTAGCCATCATCTCGTGTAGCATGTCTAGCCGTTCGGGTGGCGGCCCGGCGCTAGACCAGGTAGCCTCCGGGGCCTCCCCCTGCCACGGTGTAGCCTCCAGCTCGTTATCCGTGACGCTATCCTCCTCCAGGGTCTCCCCTGGTCGGTGTGGTCGTAGCCCGGCCAGCTGCCGGTTCTTCTCTATCCTCTGCTCAAGGTATCTAGCCTCGGTGGTGGACAGGCTAGCCTCGAGCTCCGCAGAGATATCGTCCCAAGACCTAGCTCCTTGGAACTTGAGTAGCCTGGCAGATAGCCGGCCGCCAGGCTGTATGCTAGCTCCCTCCTGGCATTCGGCTAACCTCATGTCCCTAGCCTTTCGCACTAGCTGGAGAAGCTCGTGCTGCTTATCCAGACTTAGCCGATCGTATATCTGTTCGGCCAAGCTAGCCGGGTCAGTCTCTAGCCAGTCCTCTAAGAGGCGTAGCACTTCTATCCGTTGCGCCTGGACGCTAGCCGACTCAGTCTGGTCTGCCCAGCTGGGGGCAGTAGCCATGTGCCGCTAGCCGGCCCGAGGGCACGCAGGCTCGCCCACCTAGCGTGGGCTCTCCGGAAAGGCTGGTGGTCCGTTACTCCACCCTAGAGACAGTAGCCGGGGCAAGTGCATTTGTGCCGTGCCCTAGCCCACAAATGCACACTCAGCCGGACATGTGCGCATGCAGCTTAGCCTGCCTAAGAACCTCGCAGCCTACGTCCTAGCCAGCAGACAAGACAGCAAGTGCAACAACGTGATTCTCTCCTCTCTCTCTCCTCTCTTCTCTCCCCTTCTTTCTCCCCCTGGGCCCGCCGCCCCCGGAGAGATGGGAAGGAAAGAGTATATCCCGAGAGGCCCCCCCCGGACGTATCCCCCCGTTGTCCAGCCCCGCTGCTTTCCCGGCGTTTCTATCCCTTCAGGCAAAAGGCGGTCCCCAGCCGAACGGAATAGCCGGCAACGGAGCTATCGGCAACTGGGGTACTATCCCCGGAGGTACTCCCTGCAGCTCTGCTGCTGGGACCTCTCCGAAATCTTCTTCCTCTCCCTGCTCCGGCTTCTGGTCGCCGGTGCTAGCCTGAGAGGTGTCGCTATCACCAGACGGGGACTCTTCGCCTCGGCCTTTCGGCCAGCATAGCCTACAGACATGCGTGTACTGGTTGGGTTCGGGCCTCGCCGAAAACTCTTGGGAGTTCTTAAATATCCTACGGCGGCCCATCCAGCACCCGGCCTGGCCCCCCTTGTGTAGCCTGTACTTCTTCCCTGGAAGCTCAACTATGATATAGCTCGTGCACCTAGCCTTCTTAAGGAGCTGCCTCGGCCGGTTCCGGTTGGGTTCCGGTCCCAGCTCCGGCTCACTAGCCGAGGAGTCGGGTCTATCTTCGGGAGGATCGCTCGCCACGACTTCTTCAGGTATCCCCGGACCAGCCACCATCTCCACGATGCGCTCGCTAGCCCACTCTCGTCGCAGCTCTCCCGATAGCTTCTCAGCTTCCTGCTCGCTAGCCTTGCCAGTCCGGAAAAGCCAGCCACCAAGATCGCCGGCTATCTCCCTCTCGTCTAGCTGCTCTTCTCGGTCCCGAGCCCTAGCCGCCTCTGCATAGGTAGCCTGGAGTCGGGCGACCCTTCCGCCATAGGAGCGGATGTAGGTATCCGAGCCCTCGGGCTTCCAGCGTCCTAGCATATCTCTATCTGCCGGCGGGATCGGCTTTAGGCTCAGCCCGGTGGGTAGCACTGCTCTCTCACTGTGCTCCGACCAGTAGCCTCGGGCAACCGTCGGGATCCCCACCATAGCCAGCAGCCCCGCTGTAGCCACCATCGCATCTGCGTAGGTAGCCATCTTCTTCTCCAGGGCGCCTCTCTCGCCTAGCCTTGGCATGAGATAGTCCCGCTGGTAGCCCGCGTGGTTCTTTAGCAGGTCGAAGCCCGCCTGTAGCCAGCCAGGGTCCTCGAAGTAGGCTCTCTCCGAGATGCATACGGGTAACTCCCGTATGCGCCTGTTAGCCCCGGTGGTTTTTGTCCGCCGCAGGATGGTGGATAGCCGACCTTCCACCATAGCCAGTTCGTTTGGGACCATAGCCTGGAGGTCCGACCATCGCAAGCTGCCCCAAACCTTTAGGAGCTTAGCCCAGGCCCAAGCTCTCCAGCCGACGGCCACAGTTGTATCCAGGACCAGGCGCTCCCACCTAGCCAGGATAGCCGCAGGATATCGGGGGGCTCGCCGCGTCCAGGGCGCCTTCCAGGATAGCCTCTCGACGACCGTATCCTTGATCGCCCACGCTATCCTGCCTGAGGTAGCTCTCGACTCGGTCGCCCATTCCGCGACCCTCTCTATCCAGCTGATGGCCTTGAGGATCGCCTCGGGAACTGTTCGCCCGCAGGGCTCGTCGCCCCTAGCCATGATGTAGTCGGCCAGGTCGGCCGGTAGCCCAGGGGGGCGTCCACTCTTAGCCTCCCGTAGCCATAGCCGCCATCTCACGTGTATCGAGACGTAGCGCTTGAGAGTGCTAGCCCGGGTTTTCCCCGCTAGCGCCAACACCGCTCTATCCGGGTCCAGGCACCCCTGTAGCTTCTTCAGCACCGGCGCCTCGCACAATTCTAGCTCTTCCTTGAGCTTGATAGCCCAGGTTGCTTGTAGCCTTTCCTCCCTAGCCTGCGCCAGGGAGCCCTCGTTGACCAAGCGCTTCTGCCTATCCCCTTTCGGGGGCTCCGGCTCGCTATCTTCCTGAAGGTCGATGCCTTCGATCGCCGGCCGCTTGCTGAGGTTAGCCCAAGCTAGCGAAGTTGCTCTGTATCCCGACGATCTCTCCACCAGGTCTCTAGCTTCCTGGGCCTCTTGTATCCACAGGTAGATCGAGTCGCCGATGTACTCGTCGTAGCCAACGCCCAGCTCCTCAGCCACCTGGTGCCCAATATCTTCCGCGTCCTCTAGACCGAGGGTAGCCAGCTCAAGTACACCGAAGCCCCGCGACGCCAGATGCTCATGGCATCTATCCAGCACCGCTCGCTTCTGCACAAGAGCGCTATCCAACAAGGACGGAAGACCGATGGGGGTCCCTATCCCTCGGAGGGAGTAGCCGGCCCGACGTCCTGCTCTTCCGGCTCAGCCGTGGGCAAGACGGTTGGACTCCCTGGCTCCTCGCCCCCAGGACTAGCCGGAATCACCGTAGTAGCCGGAGACTGTGGGCTAGCCGTCCGCGAAGCAGAAGGGGAGCGCGGGGAGGCCATTCTCGCTTGGCTAGATAGCCAAGTTCCCCTTCTATCCCCCTCTACTTCAAAATTACCCCCCCTGATGGGGGACTTTATCCAGAATGGCCACGGTCACACACCGTCGTAGCCATTCCAAGTCACTGCTATCCTGTCTTCGCATGTCAGAGGCAACTCTCCTGCGAGCGACGATAGCGAACGAAACTCCGTTTCTAGCGAAGCTACCTTCGATAGCTTCGAGTAGTAATAGGTAAGCTAGCACACATAGTCGTAACTCGTTCCTCGTCACGAGGTACAAAACCCAACCCCAAAGTCCGCGAGCCTCAGCTGCTTGGAAACTTCGAAAAGGCTGGAGGCAATAAAAGATGCTCTTCCCATAGGCAAGGATGAGAGGCTGCACCAAGACCTGAGCAATATGACAATCACGGCATTTTTTCACCATGCCGAATGAGAAGGACAGCAATCTGATTTTCGGTAATGCACCAAACTTATATATGACAAATTAGCTTCGGAGCCAAGGATCCCCAAGGACCTTGGGAGCCAGAGCAAGATCGTCGTCCGAGCCAGCCTTGTCCAAGCTCTCGGAGAGTGCACTCCACGGATTCCTTCCTTCCAGGATCATCGCAAATAGAAGCACGAACAGGCGGCAATGCCACTCGGATCTCAAGCGGCGGAAGGAGTCCAGCAGGTCGCACCACCTGCCGGTCTTGTGCTCTGCACCAGTGCTGCCGCGCTTGGAGCGGCAAAAGGCAAGGATCGCCTCTTTGACTTGAGCCGGTGAAGCATCCGGCGAGAGCCCCAGGTCGGAAATGATTCCGGCACTGACCATGTCAATCAAGGGATGATCAGTGGGGATTTCACCCACACGTTCTCTCGCTTCGGCAAGCCTACGGCCAAACGCCGAAGTTGCCCATGGAGCTCGGTCGTATTTCAAGACGAGGTTGATCTGCTTGCGCGCCAGTGCAATCTCTGCCACCTCTGAGGAAGCGAGAATTTCTTCTCGGTGTAGTTTGTGTAGTGTGTCACGGTGGACAAGCACAGCCAGCCCATTCTGTGCCATCTGGTACACTCCTGCTGCGTCCCCCTCGTCCTGCAAGCAGTTCAGCCTCAGGATGGATTGCCAGCCTGGGTACTGGGTTGTCTGCCAGGTCACCCCTTTCGGCGACCAAACATAGGGCAAGTCCAATCCATTCCAGTGAACGGTGCTCCTTCGTTCCCCATCCCGGCAGGGCCGAAAAGCATGCGGCGGCAGGCTGTCAGCCAGGCGATAATCAATCAGAGCATTGAGCGAATGATTGATTCCAAGGAGTTTGGAACGTGTCGCAACTTTCTCAGGTGCACGCAAAGTCGCAGGGCCACAGGAGGCCTTGGCGCCTTTGAGATCCTGCAATGCCTTCTTCGGCACCAGTTCTGCCGCCTTCGCCAAGTTCTCTGCAGCACTGCTCTCGGTGGTCTCTTTGAGCTGGGGTAGCAAACTGATGGGCGAGGAGATCATCAAGCCATCCGCGGACACCAGCACTTGAAGCACCTGGACCACACGGGATTGAACCAACGCATCGAAACCAAACTTGCCCAAAATTAAAAAAATATAATGAAAACCGGATGTTGTTTTCTATCACGCCCATACCTCGTATGTGCCGACCTTCGCAGCATCCTCGTACATGCTCATGTGTCGAAACTTCTGCACGGAAAGCTTCTTCATCAAGGCACTCCGGGCGTCCAGAAAGTAGCCGGTCAAGAACTGGTGTGCAGCACAAGCGCCCAAGCTTTTCCCCAGCGTTCCAGGCAGCTCAAGGTCTGTAGGGCAGATCTCAGAATTGGAGCGATTTCTCAAGCCAGTCACGAAGCCTCCGCCCCTGGCCAAGAATTTGTTCAAGAGTTCCTGCCTCGCCAAGTTCGCGTTCCGGGTTCGCGACCCGGAAGACCATGGCGTCTGACCTGGCTCCTCCTGCTGCCTCGGCGGCGTATCTCGCAGGTGTATGGAGCCTTCGCACATGCCGGTCTCCCAAGCCTGGGCCAAGATATGCAAGAGGCCATCTGAATCAGCTCGGAGTCTCATCAGAAACCAGCATACATCTGCAACAGGGTACCCGCCCAGGTTCTTGCGACTTGTGCCCAGAGCGACGCAGTTTTCCCACCTGAAGGAGAAGACAAATGGGAATCATAGAAGGCGGAAGGGAGGGGCTCCCAACCGCGAAAGGAAATCCAATTCTCAGCCTAAAGACATATTAACTTATGATGCTCGAGCATACGAAAAGGGAGTTTGAAAAGGACCAAAGGCCTCTGCTTCAGCGAGGCTCGTAGCTCGCAGTCGAAGAGCTTGAGAAAGCTCTTGAGCATGGCCTGGCCATCCTGGACCGCCAACGTCAAAGTGGGAAGCAGCTTCAGCCCGTCTGAGAACTCCAGGAGTCCCGTCATGCGACGAAGCAGACTGACACATCTGGTCTGTACGTTCTCAGCCAAACCACGAATCTGTGCCAGGGTTCCAATCAGAAGCAGGAAGCCGGCGCTTGAGACACAGTCATATCTCAAGCCCGGCCATGTGAAAGCTTCTTGACTGCCTTTGTAGCTCTCGTGTCGCACTATGTGCTTGCGACTGAGCCCCCAGGAATCAGCATGCTGCTTGAGGGTGCCGGAGCTCTCGTTCTTGGAGTACCAGGCAAGAAAGCTGGTTGCCATGCTCAGCTGGCTCCACACGTCTTTCACACACAGCAAATGCTGGTAGCCGTCCACATTCCGCTCCGCCGTCGGCTGGACCTCTTCAAGACTGACATTGTTGCGGAACTTTTACACTATGGGCAATCTACGATGTTTTACATTCCACTATTGCAGTTGCGAGGTTGAGCCCAAGCCTTGACCACCGTCAAGTAGTCAGGCTCCAATCGTAGGAAAAACATCTCCAATGCGTCAGAGACTTCTGGACTAGGCTCTGCCACAGCGGCAGCAATCAACTCGCTATCCTCACGGCCGCCCTCAAGCAGGGGAGGTGGCAGAGGGAAATCACAGCCAGCACGAACCGCCGAAATGCAGTCCTCCAGCACATCTCCATCAACAATCTGATTGCCGAGCGTTGCCAAAGGGGCTTGCTTGGACACTGCTGCTTTGAACATCTGCAGACACCGCAAGAAAGCCGCGGCACCTTGTTCCGGCTTTGTCTGCAGCAGTTGGCAGATGGCATCTTTCATGTTGGCCTCAGACAGCAAGACTGAAGCAAGGCTCCAAAGCAGCCAGCGTGAAGAAAAAGACGTTATCTTCAATTACAAAACCACACCCGTACATTAGCACAATCAAGACTTGCATGAGAGTCTCCATTACAGCAAATTTCGCCGCAACTGCTGGCAATCACCGCCCACTGGACTGCCCATGACACAAAAAGCTTCCCCGCGTCGTACTCTCACAGCTGGCTCGAATGTGTAAGACTGCCTGCTGACATGCACTCGAATGGTGCCTGCACACTTGTTCATGTGGCCAAAAGGTAAGTCTGTTCATCCAGATGTACACCCTTATATTGTCACATGTAGCCTATGCAGAGCCGACCAGGGCTACAGGAATTCATCCGTCTGGCAAACACACTCTTCACAGGAAACCTGCCTCAGAACTTGAACCCTGTTCCCTTCAAGGACTGCCACCAGCACAACAGGGAAGCAGAGTTTTATTGCCCAAAACTCGGCAGCAAGACTGGCTGCTGCAGGATGTCACCGGAAGAGGCCTGCATCAATGCAACATGAATCAGTCCCAGGCCGAAGTTAATGACAATTAATGTGGGCTGAGTCACAAAATTATGGGGACAGTTTGGGCAAGATCACGGGGCTATGACGGCGATAACTTCAAGCAGTGCTGGACGTTAAGACTCAGAGTGGCTGGAAGGATATGCAAAGCAGAGATGCCTGGCAGAGAGCAGCCCGGGAAAGAACAGGAAAGCAAATCTTGCGCCAACAAAACCCAGGTTCAATTGCCTGTTTGGACAACGAGGACCCCTGAGTGGCTCCAGCAGTCCCTCGAGGCCCAAACCAACCACCCGTGCAAATGCACCCAAGTTGCACACACACACACACACACAGACACACACATCAACTCCGTGGCTGAGGAGGCCCATCCTCTTAGATAAAGAAAAGTAGCCTCGTGTATTGCAAAGGCTACATCCACGTGTGTGAGCAGACTCATTTCAACTAGCCCAACCACAAAAGTGGTTACATCCACGAACTACCTGAACCAACTTCCTCTACTCTATGCCAAGAACAATAACAAAGTTTGTGCACAGATACAACAACACGAAACAAACAGCAAACTTCAGGCACGCTGACAGGCTTCAGGCGCTATGACCCGATTGCGGTGTGGGCCTGGCTGGCGGCAGCAACGACCACAACTCCTGGGCGGTAAATATTAAGCAGGGAGCAAGCGAGCAAGCCGCACAAAGCATAGCACTCGCGGGGGGGGTACAGTACGAAGTCTTCACTGCTACGAATCTCCGCCAATTCTTCTCATGTTGCCCTCTGGCACTCTGGCGCAGATATAAGCTCAGGCTGAAACCACAAACCCCCTCCAAAACCGACTGCTGGCCAGCCTGATGACGAGCTCTTTGTCCCAAACCTGTCAGAAGATTCTGCAAAGGCAAGCCATGGAGACTGTGTACAAACGATGCCCACAGCTGTGTGTGCCATGACCCCAGCAACAAGGCCAACAAAGGTCAACTCGACACCGTCCGTCGACGGCTAGGGCATGGGCCTGGGAATAAATACGTTTGCCGACAACAGCCATCACTCTCAACGGCAAGCGGCTCTTCTCAGTCAAAGCCAACAGATACTGCAGTCTGCCGACACAGACCCGGAACAAAGCCGGCATCGAGTCCCAAGCAGTCTGGCTGCACTCAAACTCCAGGAGCAAATCTTCCAACCCTTGGACAAACGACTCCAGCGATTTCTGTTCCGAAGATTCTGGACCAGGACCTTATTCAAAACGTAGCCCAAGTGCACCCAGCCTGGCACACCGGCACGGTCAACGGCAAGGAGCAGGAAGCCTCGAAATGCGAGCTGACGATGACACTTGACTCAAGGGCCGACATCGAGGAACCTCTACCAGACTCTACCAATGTTCGAATGTCCTTGTCTGGTTCCTGTCTTGCACTGTAGTCAGATAATCTCAGGCTCAATCAGCAAAGGAAACCATGCGCAAAAGTGCCCGCTGGGCATCCGAGTGACGATCTGACCATTGTCGGCGACCTGACAGAAGAGCATGCGTGTCAGCTTATTGCAAACAAACGAGGCCTAAGCAGCACGAGCAGCACATGCGATGACCCCCAAAACACCAAGCCCATCCCTGTGAGCAGCCCAACCCTGGAATTCCAAGCAAGTCAGCCTCAGCTCGGCTCATGTGCCAGACCACAGCCAGGGCCTAGGACTGGCCATTCACACTTCGAGCTAGCAGGTGGTTTCTTGAAAAGCAACTTGCTCTGAACCGGGTAAATCAAGACATGCCATGCTGCAGTGTGCCGACACAGGCCTGGAGCAAAGCTGAATCCAAGTTCCGAACAAGCCGGCTGCGTTCGAACTCCAGCAACAAAGCCGCGAACCTTTGAAACACAACTTGGGTGAGGTAAACTCTGATTTGTTTCTGGACTTGGGTTGCCCAGCAAAATGTGCACGAAGTGCAACCAGCCTGGCACACCGCCACGGCTGATGGCCAGGAGCCGGAAGCCTCGGAACGTGTGCTGACACTGGCACCTGAAGGTTTTTTATGTCGGCATAAAGGACAGTCTCACTCGGTTCGTGTATCTCCGCTGTGGCAGAAGACTGCAGGTGGGACCCTGTAGCAGCAATGATTGGGAGAGACCTCGACTGATTCCCGGAGTCTACTACAGACAAATCACGGTTCAGAGCACAGCACTGGCGGAAGCAGTCGTGCTGTTGACCCCTATGTTGGTTCCATGACTGTGGTTCTTGGGAGCAGAATTACACGACCTTCTCAATCGGACAGAAGCAGCAAATAGAGCGACACGATCGGAATGCATCTGTTGCTGAAGAACATCCTTTGCAGCCTAGTGGCCTAGCAAGCAGCAATACCAAAGTGCGAAGATCAGCAGCCATACAGAACCGTGGTAAGAAATACTGAAACCACAAGATAGTCAATGGGTGTGCGATATCTACCATCAAGTACAGATATAGACACAAGCGTGCAAAAGACAACGACACATCTACACACGGTGTTCTAGTCATGGTGTCATGGTCAGGCACCCACAAGGAAGAAAGCCTGCTTGCAGTCCGACAAATCTAGGAGCTGAATCTCCGGGCCCACGGGTGCCGCACCGATCGGAATGAGCAGCAGGGCCCACCTGCAAAACTCACCAGCAAACTCCAAATCACGTACCACGGTCAAGCTGCATGAATATTCGCAAAAGACGCACACTCGAAGCTTTGGTTTACTCTGTGTTCGGGCCTGCCGCAGCTCGGTCACTCCTCCGCTGCACTGGTGACCTGGGCCGCGGGCTGAGAAATTCACCAAAAAAAAATCCGTGGATTCTGAGAGAACTATCACTCGCGGAGAAGGATACATGATGCGTTTTCTGTGTGTTCACATACATCACATACCACCAAGTGACGTGGTTTTCTAACAAAACAAACGGACTTTTGCGCACACACTTGAGCCTCAGTTTGCACACGGTCTTTGGTAAGCTTTGCACAAGGAAAACACTACGTGGAAAAGGTGGTTCCGGTTTCGGTAAAAGTTTGAAACCCCTTCGTCTACCGCCCTTCGGGCACTGAAGTTCACTTCGGTTACACTGTACATGCCACTGCTTTAAACACTGGTGATGGGCCTCTTCTTGCGGAGGAAAACTTTTGTTCTAGTCCCATGCACCATCTACAGGATTATGCAACAGCGTATGTGTGAGCATGCCATCTTCGGGGCCTTTCTTGATCAACACTAGAAGCTCACAACTTGATACAAAGCATGGCGTTCGCTTACCTCAGGCTCTATACAAACTACAAGCAAAGAAGCGATTGCTGTATCGGACACTACAGCCTTACATCGCCAACGGAGAAAACTCAACACTTACAGGCTGAGTAACCAAAAGCGTGGCTCACTGCCCAGTCTCAGCGCTTCACGGTCGGCACTGCTTACAAGGACGAAGTTCTTTTCGCTGGGCTTCGGCTCGACTGATTTGCGTAGCATTTTCCGGTAGATCAGCAAGCCAACGCTGAACCATACCGCAACTCCTCTTGTGGAACCCTTTCTTACGCTTAGCCTCACCAACGATGTACACCATGTCTGCGTGCGGCTCGTGCGGCATCTGGTCTTGATCTTGGTTCTCTACGTCAAAGTTCTGGGGTTCACCTCCACGATCATTGCGAACGTAACCCTGAATCTCTCCCTGAGCCGCTTCCTCTACTTCACCATCGTCACCCTCATGCACATAGCTCTGGACATAAGCTTCTGCGGCACCTCCTTCATCATCATCACTTCGCGGAAACACTTCATCCCAAGTATCGAAGAGGTTTTCATGGATGTAGTCGTCGTAAGTCATGCAACCATCCCGCGGTTCAAAAGGTTGTTGTTGTGCTGAGCCGCGCCCTCGATCTCGATTCCACCGTCGCGGGGGCATGTAGATCACCACCACAAGCATGCACAAGGCAATCACCAGCGCCGCCAAACCACTGTGATCACAAAGTCGTTGAAGGAAGTTCGCTGCACCATCATCCGTATCATCTGCCACGATCTCTGTGGCCCCAACGGAAGCCATCAAGACAAACAGCATCAACCACATTGTCAAGGTTCCACCTTCTTCGATAAAGGCAGACGCTACACTCCACGCTCCAATCAAGCCCAACACGATCATGACGGCAACAATGATGGGAACATGCACGCTCCTAAAGTCGCGCTCCTGGTCAAAGCTAAGGGCTTCACCGCCTTCAAGAATAACGGCCAATGCCCTCATCACTGCCGCGATGCTGGAACCCTGAACTGTAGTCGCTCTTGCCCTCACACGCTGAACCCGAACAGGACCTGCATCATCATCTTCATCCAAGCTCATGCCGATCAAGCTCATCAAATACTTTAGCCTGTTCCTACCGTGGGATTTGGTTTGAAGGTCAGCTGGAGCGTCCCTTGTAGAAATGGGCTTGGTTACGAACACTCCATCATGATGAGATCGCTGAATCCACAGCCAAGCCAAACTAACATGTCGCGTTCTCTGCAGGCCTTGCTTCTGAATGATTGACCGAGCTGCTGAGTTGTCCACGTAGTGGACAAGTTTCACACGAGAATTCGGACCACATATGAAACGCACCATCTCGCCCACAAACATAGCCTCTGTTACGCCAAGGAGCGATGCCATGAGCTCGCTCTCCGCCGACGACAGGCTGATGGTTTTCTGTACCTTGTTTCCGCAATGACATACATTGCCATTGATCAGGATCACATATGCCGAGATTGAGCGTCTCTCCGGGAAGACTTTACTACCCCAGTCAGCGTCGGTCACGACCTCCACTATGTGGTCTCGCCCAAACGGGTACTTCTTGGGGTCCCAATCTTCAGGTTCACAATCTCGACCTTCCCACTTTTGAAACACCGTGCGTCCGGGATTGCATCGCTCCATCTTCACTGGAACTACAGGGTGCAACTTCACATACTTTACCAAGTGCCTCAGCAAGTTGAAATCGGTTTGCGTGGGATCACTGCACCGAGACGAAAGGACCTTCACTCCATACTGCAAGTCTGGGCGTTCACTACTCATGTACAATAGCAAACCTATGCACTTGCGGTAGAGAGCATGCATTTCAGCATCCAAACGTTCACCCACACCAGGCTCTGGGACTTGTTGGGGCATCGGAGTCCTCTTCACATTCGCCTTCTCTAACTCCAAGAGGCCTACCAACCGCTCTGCATACTTCACATCCTGGGTGATGACGAGGCCCTTTTCAATGGATTCAAACTTGCGCTTAAGGAAGTGCGAGGTCCCCCCGTTCACATCAACCGGCCCATCAATCTTCACCTTCAGCCCTTTGTCTTTCAACCTTTTCGCCAAAGCCATGGGCGCACCTTTAACACCAAGGATCTGCCTGCCTTGTGCAAGCGGCAAGACAACACAAAATCGTGGCCGTCCAAGGCAAAGGGTGGCGAGCCACGGCGAGCCCCAGCATCTGCAACTCATCCACCGATCCACCTTCCAGTTTTGGCTGAATGCAGGCAAAAGAGAAGGACAACTGGATGCAGAAGAGGAGTGGAGACTGTCTGAAGTCGGCAAAAACCAGCTCAATCCCAACCCAACGACATCATGGCAATCAAGAAATTCACGGACTGGGCGAGATCGCCGCTAAGGATTGGCAGCTGCACCCTCATGCTCTCATCTAAACCCTGATACCAAGGCCTTTTCGGCAAGAGCTTCAGGAGAAGGATGTCGCGGGCTTTTCCGTTTTTGACGAACACGACGAACAGGAACCTGATGCCGCGAGGGATCCGAAATGCCCTGCCCGGTGCTCATCTGGTCGAGCTGGATGACGAAGCGAAGGTCGGCCACCGTTGTGGTGATGCGTTTGGCGTGAAGCGTCGCCATGCAAGCCCTCACCAGCATGGAGTTCAGGTACTCCTGCCAGAGCACTACCAAACCAAGGCCAGAGCAGCAAACCCAAAGGACACGGATCAAAGCAGGAGTGCAGAATGGCCAGCGTGGCACACAAGCCCTCTGCGACACACACCAGACACACTCACAGCGGTTGCTACTGCATGGCACCAATACAAGCAGACCTCGGCAGCTTGGTGAAGAGTTCTGCTGCCTTCCTCAGAAAGACTGATCGGCTGGTCATTCTCTTTTTCGGATCTGCCCGAGTGGAGCTCATCCTTGTAGTTCGGACTCCTTCGTTCCTTGTGCAGTCGGTCCAAGATGTCCTACACAGATGACGTGGGGACCCTTGGCAATGAAAGGCAAAGGACACTCCAGAATTACCGGCCTGTTGCTCGGGTCCTTGCTGAGCTTCTTGAACAAGGCCGCTGGGATCATGGGCTCGTTCGACGTCGGCAGAATCGCCATCTGTGAGCTGGCGTTTCTGTTCTGGCCACCGTAGCGACCCTTCCATTCGACGTCCTTCGTCGTCCCTGCCTTGGCAATTTGGCAAAGACAGGAGAAGACCTGCAGCCACCAAACCGAAACAAAAATGAAGCAAAGTTGCAAAGGGTCGGCCGCCCGAAGACGCATTCTTCTTCAGCGTCCTTGTCATGCTGCCACCTCCCAGCAAAGGCCAGAAGGATTGGTTTCGACCACACGTGTGGGTTTTCGCAAACTAGCAGTGGAAATCTACGTCTGCTTGGAGTTTCTGGTATTCAGATTTCTTTGGCACACATCAAGCTATCCTGGTCCAACCCGACACAGATGCGTTTTCCAAGGGCTGGTAAATGCATCCGGCTTGCCTTGCAGCTGCCATTCCAGCTCTCTGCGTTATCGTTCCAGGACCGACACGGATGCGTTTTTCGCGGCCTGGAAAATGCATCTGGCCTGGATTCCCAGTGTTATTGACGACCACACGTATGGATTTTCGCAATCTACCCGTCGAAATCTGCATTTGCTTTGGGTTTATGGTATTCAGATCTCTTTAGCACACATCGAGCTACCTCTTAGTCAAAACCGACACGGATGCGTTTCCCAAGGCCTGGTAAATGCATTCGGCTTGGCTTGCAGCTACCATTCCAGCTCTGTGCATTCTCGTACCAAGACCGACACAGATGCGTTTTTCGGGGCCTGGAAAACGCATCTGGCCTGGATCCCCAATCTACCTGCAGAAATCTGCATTGGCTTTGCGTGTTTGGTGTTCACATCTCTTTACAAACATCAAGCTATCCTGGTCCAACCCGACACAGATGCGTTTTCCAAGGCCTGGTAAATGCATCCGGCTTGCCTTCCAGCTGCCATTCCAGCTACGCGCGTACTCGTGCCAAGACCGACACGGATGCGTTTTTCGCGGCCTGGAAAACGCATCTGGCCTGGATTCCCTATGTTCTTTACAGCCACACGTGTGGACTTTCGCAATCTACCCGTGGAAATCTGCATTTGCTTTAGGTTTCTGGTATTCAAATCTCTTTAGCACACATGAAGCTACCTCTTGGTCAAAAACGACACGGATGCGTTTTCCAAGGCCTGGTAAATGCATCCGGCTTGCCTTGCACTTGCCATTCCAGCTCTGTGCGTACTCGTGCCAAGACCGACACGGATGCGTTTTTCGGGGCCTGGAAAACGCATCTGGCCTGGGTTCCCCATGTTCTTTGCAGCCACACGTGTGGATTTTCGCAATCTACCCGTGGAAATCTGCATTTGCTTTGGGTTTATAGTATTCAGATCTCTTTAGCACACATCAAGCTATCCTGGTCCAAACCGACACAGATGCGTTTTCCAAGGGCTGGTAAATGCATCCGGCTTGTCTTGCAGCTGCCATTCCAGCTCTGTGCGTAATGGTGTCAAGACCGACACGGATGCGTTTTTCGGGGCCTGGAAAACGCATCTGGCCTGGATTCCCTATGTTCTTTACAGCCACACGTGTGGATTTTCGCAATCTACCCGTGGAAATCTGCATTTGCTTTAGGTTTCTGGTATTCAAATCTCTTTAGCACACATGAAGCTACCTCTTGGTCAAAAACGACACGGATGCGTTTTCCAAGGCCTGGTAAATGCATCCGGCTTGCCTTGCACTTGCCATTCCAGCTCTGTGCGTACTCGTGCCAAGACCGACACGGATGCGTTTTTCGGGGCCTGGAAAACGCATCTGGCCTGGGTTCCCCATGTTCTTTGCAGCCACACGTGTGGATTTTCGCAATCTACTCGTGGAAATCTGCACTTGCTTTGGGTTTATGGTATTCAAATCTCTTTAGCACACATCAAGCTACCTCTTAGTCAAAAACGACACGGATGCGTTTTCCAAGGCCTGGTAAATGCATCCGGCTTGCCTTGCACTTGCCATTCCAGCTCTGTGCGTACTCGTGCCAAGACCGACACGGATGCGCTTCTCGGGGCCTGGAAAACGCATCTGGCCTGGATTCCCTATGTTCTTTGCAGCCACACGTGTGGATTTTCGCAATCTACTCGTGGAAATCTGCACTTGCTTTGGGTTTATGGTATTCAAATCTCTTTAGCACACATCAAGCTACCTCTTAGTCAAAAACGACACGGATGCGTTTTCCAAGGCCTGGTAAATGCATCCGGCTTGCCTTTTCCAAGGCGTGGTACATGCATCCGGCTTGCTTTGCAGCTTCCATTCCAGCTCTGTGCGTAATGGTGCCAAGACCAACACGGATGCGTGTTTCGGGGCCTGGAAAATGCATCTGGCCTGGATTCCCTATGTTCTTTACAGCCACACGTGTGGATTTTCGCAATCTACCCGTGGAAATCTGCACTTGCTTTCGGTTTATGGTATTCAAATCTCTTTAGCACACATCAACCTACCTCTTGGTCAAAACCGACACAGATGCGTTTTCCAAGGCCTGGTAAATGCATCCGGCTTGCCTTGCACTTGCCATTCCAGCTCTGTGCATAATGGTGCCAAGACCGACACGGATGCGTTTTTCGGGGCCTGGAAAACGCATCTAGCCTAGATTCCATATATTGGTTACGACCACGCGTTTGGATTTTCGCAATCTACCCGTGGAAATCTGCATTGGCTGTGTTACCACAGTCACACTAAGACTTTCATGTTCGACACCCAGGCGCAGCCAGACTGCCAGACACATGCAATTTCAAGGGCTGGCACATGCATACGTGCAAGTATCATTCCAGGTTTGTGTGCTTTTAGTTGAGGTCTGAACTGACATGCATGGATTCATCAAGAAGTTATCATCTGGGCTGGATTCGTTGTATTGTTTTCGGCCACATGTGGATGCTCGCAGAAATACTGCATCTGGTATGGGCTTGTCGTAATTTGGTACCAGAGTAGTCTGGACTCAACTCAACAAGGACTCAAGTGCATTCATCGAGGCTTCGAACGCAATGGAAGTCTAGCTTGGATATCTTATGCTGCTGGATGCGAGGACTGCGGATGTTCTCAACCTAGTCGTTGAATTCCAAACATGCCTCTCAGTCCAGCTGTTCGAATTCGGCGCACATTATGACCCGGACTAGCATACCAGCTCCTGAAACTAAAATTGAAAGGTTAAACCCTTATACCAGTATACTTCTTATAACCACGGCGCGAGCTTGGATTCTTTTCTCACTCCGTGCTCCGCTGTCGGGCTGTCTTGAGCCTACGTTTGACCTGCGGTGAAACACTGGATTCCTGTATGTAAATGGGCATGAGGGAAAATTGAACTATCTGTTACGCCCTCATCGCATACACAGCTTTGTCGTGTAATGCGATCCTTGTGAAACTTTTCCTACTTCTACCACTGTTTTCGCATGCTCCTGTGAGCTTGATCTTCTCTTCTCGCACGCTTCTTTGAGCACTTCTTGAACATCTTTAACCTTTTCTTCCTTTGGTCTTCATCCTCAATCTTCAGATGTCCTATAACAGATTTGCGAATTTCCACTCCACACACGATTGGCATGGACTCACTCAGAATCTAAATGTGCACTCACTTTTTCTTCACGTCGCTTTTCGCGATGTAGGTCCACACTTGCTCTTCGGCAATCTGGAAACTTTGGCTTGTCTCCTTTGCTTTCGGACTTCTTTCATCAGTCCTGCATAGGCTTTTCAGCCTTCTGTCATTGACCTTTAAACAATCGTTGTGCTCGTTGTGCTTTGACGTATGCCGTGGGACCTTTACGCAGTCCTCGTGGCTTTTGCTGTGGCTTTACCCACGCTTCTCACAAGCTTTCTCCATAAGCTTTTCCGTTGTGAAACATCTCTGCCCTGGGCGATTTCCGCCCTCACACTTGCTGCTGGGCGATTTCCGCCCTCACTGCTTTTTCTTGTTTTAAACCGCAACCTTGGTTTACTCCAGCTCCTTTTCTCCACGCTGTCGCTTCTCAGCTCTTGCTTGATCGAACGGAGATTCGCTCTTCCGCTTCTTCTCCTTTTCAGCCTTTTCAGCTTTCTTCTCTTTATCCTTGTCCTTGCTCTTGGACTTGTCGGCTGGCTTTTTCTTCTTCTCTTCCTTGTCTTCTGCTTTCTTTTCAGCCTTATCTTCATCACTTTTCTTTGGCTTCTTTGGTTCTGCTCCCCAACTGTCCTTCGGGGTATATCCTTGCTCTTGGATGTCTTTTAGCTCCTTCTCGAACTTGTACTGGTTGCTTTCCAAGTAACTCCTGACATCTTCCTTGTACTTGCAGATGTCCGGGGTATGTGTACCCCACCCCTTAAACTTGAAGGGTCTGTAGTTGATGTGCGTGAAATTCAGAAAGCAAAATTTGCAAAATATTCTTCGCTCGCTGTTGCTGCTGTCTGGTCTTGTCCCATCGTAGTACATCTTGACAGCTTTCTCCATTTCCGGACATTCCGGGGCTTTATGCTGGTCCGTGGCCTTGCAATAGAAGCAATGCAGGTACTTGGTCTTCTTGAAAGATTCTTCTCTTGGATCCTTAAGCCAAATCGGGTTCACCTTCCTTGGTGGCGTGCCTTCTGGCTCGCTTGGCTTTTCCTTGCTGTGATCCAGCTTTGCCTTCGCTGCTTTCTCGATCTTTTCATCGGTGGCTTCTTTGAACGTTGACCGTAGTTTGCTCTTCAAAGCTAACTGCTTCTCCAAAGTATTCGCTGCCTTTCTTTCTTCATCTGTGATTCCATCCTTGAGAAACTTAGGTACCTTCTTTGGCATTGGCTTTGCCTTTGCTGCTGGCGTTGCTGGGCTGCTTGCCTCGCTTTTTCTCTTGATCGTCGCCATAAGCTTTGCTAGGGCTTGTCGCTCCTTTTCTTGATCTGGCTCTGGCCTTGTGTACAGATCTAGGCTTTTGAAATCTTCGCTCAGAGCTGACAGTAGCTTGTCTGCTGTCTGCACCACTTCGCCTAGCTTCTGTAAAGCACTTCTCACATTGCTTGTCTTCTCAACATCTCCTCTTGCTGCGACTGCATCTTCCTCGAGCTCTCGCACTTTCTTAAGCTTTGCTTCAAGCTTTTCTTTCATCTCCTTCTTGAGTTCTTGCTCGTATTGATCCATCTCTTCTCTGGCTTGCTTGTAAGCTTCTTCAGCCTTCTTCTCGTCCTCTGTCAACGTGGACATACTCTCCACATATTCTTGCATATCATCTTCCACTCTTGCTAAAAACTCTGCGGTTCTTAAGCCGTACCCGGCTGGGAGTCTTGAG